GTCCTTGGAATAGAAGCTGCAGGACAGAGGAGTTCAGGGGGACATGCAGGGGTTGGGGGAGCCCTGGCTCTTCCATCTGCTCAGATGCCCTGCTTCCCCATGCTGGTAACCCACATTTCTGGGAACAGAGCCATGGAATCCAGTGGTGGCTCCAGTGTGTGAAATGTCACTAGAGTCAGCTGAGCAGACCTGGTCGTTTCTACAGAAATCCAGCCTGCCCAGCTCATTTCTTGATGCCTTGCAGGGCCCCAGGAGACCAGGAGAGGCAGCCCCACATCCCTCCTCTCTCTAGCCTCCCTGCCTCCACCTCACCCCTTTCCAAGGGGTCCTCTACTTTGGCCACACATCTGCAGCCCCTTGTCAAAAGAATCAATTCTAAACCCACCTTGCCTGATGTCCAAAGCCCTTGATAGCCCAGCTTATCTTGTTGGCCTTCCCTTCGGTCCCCTCCCCGCCCATGTATCCTATTCTCCAGAACAATATCCTCCTCCCTGGACACACCAGGCTCTATTACTCTGTGCTTTCTTTGCAATTTCCGTCCCCTCTGCCGAGAAAGCCACACTCACCACCCTCCCCAGCGCTCACACTAAACTTGGCCTGTGCCCCTTTCCAACCCTTACAAATGGAGAGCCAAAGACAAGCTTTGTCCTTAAGGAGGTCACAGTTCTCTGGAAGAAACAGGCCTTTTACAGCCAGAGGTCTTTGGGGGAGCCCAGGAGAGCAAGCCTGAACTTGGCCTCTGGCAATGTGCACAAGCTCTCTAGAGGAGGTGATCTGACCAGTAGGTGAATCTCCAGGGCTTATATGGCAGATAAAGGCAGACAGACAGAGTAAAAGGCCTTGCAAGGCATGAGTCACCCATTCATCTGACCAACACTTAATTCACAAATATAATAAAATATCTGCCCTGTGCACCTTGCTAGGATGCTGTGAGAAGTAATAAATCCATGATGGGCTTTGTGCAGAGCTGAGGGACCTGCCAGCAAGTCCTGCCAGACCATAACGGTACTCCCCACATGAGGTCCCAGCAGAGGTGGGGCTTATTTTTAGGCTGCCAGAGGCTCTAAATCTTGATTGACAGCATTGGTGCAACTTGTAACCAGGCTTGAAAAGAAAGCCTCTCACTGGATGATTTCTTCCAGGGAGCCTAGCAGTGGGGCCTTGGGCATCCATAAGTCCTATTATTTTTTGAGTCCTTTCTGTGGCTAGAATAAATGTCTTGCAAATCAAAGATCTACTTTTTTTTCTAAAATATGGATTAGCACTGGGACCAATGAAATAAAAAAGCATCTTAAAGTAGTGATGCATTTGTGTGAGCACAGAGAAAGATGGGTAAGGGTATCTGAAACCCAATACTGCTTATCTGGATGAGCGGAGAGGGAAATGGTTAAATTTTTTTTACTTATTAGTTTTTTGTACAACTGAAAAAAAAATTGTTTTAAGTGTTTCTGAATTCAAAGGCTTTCTGTCATTGTGCATCTATTTGCTTCATTAACAAAACACAAAAAGAGAACTATTATCAGATGGGTGGTGTGGTCTGTGAAAATTTTGGACCAGAATAAAGGACTTTTGCTATAGATATGATTCACTGAGGACAGGAAATCTGTGCCAGGAAATCAGTGATCAACTTTTCTGGAGCATGATCCTGCCGAATCTAGGTAATGATGTTATATGTTGATATTATTAGTGCCCCCATTTTTGAGATGAGAAAATAGAAGGTCAGGGATTTTAAAGAACTTGCCCAAGGTCACACAGCAAACCAGGGGCGGAGCTGAGGCTGGAACCAACCCAGAGCTCTTTCCTCCAAAGCCAGCCCCCCACCTCAGGTGGGGAGCCAACCTGGGGAGCATCAGTCAGTGTGAAGAACTAGGTGTTTCAACAAAGCCACTGGCAGAGACCTGACCTTTGGTTTGAACATAGATGAGCTGCTTCCCCTGGCAGGGGTTATGGCAGACAGTAGAGTAGCTATTTGTCAACAAAGACCTTTGCTCCAGGATTGGGCTTTGAGTAATTTATTAACATCAGTACAACATCAGTACTGACCAAGATAAACAGCCAAGTGGCCACACGTGAAGAGAGAGCCTGGGGGCTGGAGTGCTGGGGAATGGAGGGGGGAATCTGGGAGCTCCCATGGGCTCCCATCTTTTCCCATCACTCTCTTATCCTTCCTGCCTGTGGGCTTCAGTTTCCCCATGAGTCAAATGAGCAGAGTGGAGCAGCCTATCTTTACATATCTTTTCTACAGGTAAAGCCCAACACAGAACCTGTCCAAGATCCCACAACAGGTCTGAACTCGAAGCCAGTATCTTTTCAAGAGTTCAAATTTCACTTTCTCAGTGAAATTGCAACATTCTCCTACCCTTGAACTCCCCAACCTCTCTCACCCTGCTCTCTTATTTTTTCCCTAGCTCCTTCCAACACATTATACTTATTATTTGCTTATTAAGTGCCTTATTTATTGGCTCCTCACTAGAAGCAGCCCCACAAGGACAGGGATCTTGTCTGTCCTGTATGTCCCTGCTGTATTCCCCATGTCTGGAATGGGGCCAGCCCACGGCACGTGCTCAGTCCACATTCGGGAAATGAATGAGGAGTGGCAGGTAAGACAGAGCTGCCTGAAGATGATGAAAGCTGTAAGGTAAGGAAGACAGAGTGGGCCTTGGCTCAGAGTGTGGGCTCAGGGCCCCTTTCCATCCCCACCACCACGGCAGAGTTAGTGTTTAAGAGCACAGTTTCTAGCCAAATCCAAGTGCTAATCCCAGCTCAGCTGTCTCTCTGAGCCTCATATTCCTCATCTGTAAAATAAGGACAATAGGATGGACCTTTTAGAGAAAGGGCCTGGCATAGCAATGCAGCTAAAATCATGGTTCCTGCCTCCTAACTTATCTCCCAGCTCCCATCTTCCCCCATTTTTCCTTATCTTCTGTGGCTCCCCACTGAGTGCAAAACAAAGGCTGGATGTCTCCACTTGGGATTCGAGCTCTCATCTACTTTGCCAAGCTTTCCTTTTAAATCTGGTAATCACAGAGCCAGGATTTCCTATTACAGTGGTTCTCAAACCCACAGCCATTACTGTGACCTAAGTAATTCTCAGGCCCCGTCCCAGAAACTCTGAGGGTGGGCCTAGTAATCCCACCCAGGGATTCTGATACGCGCTCAAATTTGAGAATCATTGCTCTACAGCCGTCTCAATTTCTTTTTCTTTTTCCATGTAATCTCAGTAAGTCATCTCAAAAATGCCAAAGATTCTGGTATCTCAACTTTATTAAGAATGCCTCTTAGGCCTAGAAAAACAAAATACAGCTTTGTCTAATTTGCAGGAAGGAGCTGCCCCAGCTGGATCAGTTCAGCCCCTTCCACAAGAACACCTCTCATATTTCTGCCTCAACCCATCCATCATTTTCAAATGAATATGTCTTGTCTCCCCAGCCATACCAGAAGCCACTAGCTAATATCCTCCCCCCTCCCAGAGTACCCAGTACAGTGCTCTTTGGCATGGGAGTTGCTCAATAATATCTGTTCCAGATTAGAACTTTTCAATAGATGATACATTTGTACTCTAAAATAGGGGCATCAACAATCTGATGCCTCCTCACATGAAACTGCTCCAGAATGTTCTAGACTTATAAGCTAGGACGCTCAGCTCTATGCACATTCTGAAACGCTATTGTGTTTTGAGTTGGCTGACTTTAGAAAGGGACCACATTTCTGTTTATTGTTCCAGAATTGTGTCTTTAGGTGACACACTAGAAGAACTGGAGGAATTTAAGTTCAGTTAACAACAGGACTACTGGTGCAGCAGTAACACTATCAGTTATTTATTGAGCACCTGCTAAGTGCTATGAGTGAATCCTCACAATGCTTTTGAGAAAAATGAGACTCAGAGATATTCCCTGACTTATTCAAGGACAGTTAATTTATAGCCAAGAGGATTGCAATTCAGGTCCATCGGACTTCAAAGCCCATGCTCTGTCCCAAACCTCAGAGGCCAGAAGGGCTGCAGCCAGCTGCTCTAGTCAGCACAGAATATTCTCTGATATCCAAAATGGGAAGGGTGAAAATAACTGTGAAGCAGCCCTTCAGGGGCTCGTGGTAATCCAAGTACCTTCACAGCAATCCAGCAGGTGATCCCCCAGCCCCACTTTACAGAGGAGGAAACTGAGGTTCAGAGAGTTCAGTGCCTCATCCAAGGTTACCAAGTGAGGGAGTGAGGAGCAGCAGGCTGCCTCTATGTCCCATGCTCTTTTTGTGACTTCTGGATTGTCACACAAATGGCTCTACCACCTACAGATGCTGTAACTCTCCAAAAGTGAGGTTCCACCCCTAGCCTCCATTTCCTCATCTGGAAAACAAGGGGCTCAGGGAAGGGGTCCTCGAGGCCCTTTCAGCCCATGGAGCTCACACAGAAACTGTTTGAAACAGAAGCTTGAGCAAGGAGCAGCATCTGTTCCATGTTCACTAGGGACTAAAACCTTTTTTAATCTTCAACACTATTTTACACCCCATTTCACAGATGAGGAATCTGAGACTTCAGAAAGTCAAATGACTCACCCAAGGTCACCTCAGTAAGCCAGGCTTCTTAGATTTACTGGTGCCAGGCAAATTCCAAGCTCTTTCCATGACATCAGCTTTCCCTCCAGTTGTTGGGCAGTCAGCGTGGGAAGCACATACCTAATTCCTCTTTTACAAATTCCAAAGGCCCCACTGTGCTGTGCTCTAACATCTCATGGCCAGGTCTAACAGAATTCTAAGGCTTCGCACCTGAGCTGCTGCACAGGAGGGATCCCTACTTCCTTTCCACAGGTGCAGGGACAGGTGTCCTCACTTCTCTGGCAAAAGTTCTTTGACCAGACCACACTGTCCTGACCCCTGTGCTAGAGGCTGGGAAACAGAAAAATGAGGTGATGGTCTAGCGGGGAAGATGGGCATACATGTACGGAGTGATAAGGGCACAGATGGGGGAAGTACAGGGCACTGGAGCCAGATAAGGGAAGGGTTGCCCAGGGCCAGTCAGAGAGGCCAAGCTCTCCCTCAGCCCAGAGCAGGGGCCAGACAAATGTCCAGGCTGAGTGCATGGCCCTGCCAGCCTCCCTCTCCCAGGAGGCCACCAGTTGTGGTACAAAGAGCATGGGGTGTCAGGAGACCTGGGTCCAGATCCAGTACTTCCATGGAACAGCAGGGGGAGTCACCTTGGGCAACTCCCATCCCTCCCCAGGCCCCCCTGTATTGTTCGGTGTTGGGGAGTAAAGGGTCTGTGCATGGGCATCACCCTTGAGGATCCCCAACTCTTCCCTCCCAGAACTTCCCAAGGGAGCATTGCCTCTTCTAGAAGCCCCCAATGGGTGCTATCTCACAATCACCGCGAAGGCCTGGGGAAGGGGCCCCTCCTTCTGCCCTCGGTCGGTTCCCACTCTCTAGGTCCCACGACCTGCCCCTCCCATTCACCCCATCTTTCATTCTCTGCCCCGAGCCAGGAACCCACTAGGACGAAGACCCTGCGCATACCTTTCTCAATACCCCCACTCTGCCCAGAACTCTTCCCCAGGCCTAGATCTTGCCCTCGCTACTAACCCATACATTCCAAGCCGGAGTCTTTGCCCATCCCCTGGACCCCGCCCCTGCACCTCCCGCGCCCGCCGTCCCCGCCCAGCCCGACTCTCACCGTGCAGCAGCCGCATCCCCAGCGCGGGGCCCCGGGCCCCCCATTAGCAGCCGCGCGGCTGCAGAGATGCTGCACAGCCGCGGAGCCATGTTGGAGCCGTGCAGGTCGAAGGCCCCGCCCGGCGGAGGCGGGGCGCCAGTAAGCCACGCCCACAGCCTGCCGGCCTCCCTCCGCACACAGCCAGGTAGGCGTTGCCTGCCTCGCGGTACCCCAACCCGCAGAAGCTGGGCGGAAGTCGGCGTTCTTGTCCTCTGAGCCCCTGCAACTTTGCTATTGACTTGCTTTGTGACTTTGGGCGAGCCGTTTACACACTCTGGGGCTCAGGGTCCACCTAGGTAAAACAGGAGTGTTGAACAATAATACCGGGGATTCTTAACTGGGCATTCAAGGATTAGGCCGAGCGTCAGTAAGACCCCTGAAATTGGGCTGTTTTCTGGGGACGAGGGGGTCTACAGGCGATGTTTATCACATCAAAGGAACAAACCCCCTAACAACTGAAAACAAGTGACAAGGCCCTGGGCCGCAGGGACGGTTTTTCTCCATTATCCTCTTTCCTTTCCATTCCCCTCTCTGCCTGGACCTCCTGGGAACCTCGCCCCTCCTTCCACCTGCCTAGCTCTTTTGCTTGTCTTCCAAACTAATCCCTTCTCAGCCTACAGCCCCCCAGGTTGCAGGGGCCGAGAGCCTGCAGACTGCACGGCAGGGACAAGGGTCCTTAATTGCTTCCAGAGGGACATGGATACATGTATGCACACCACCCAGAAGAATATCAACCACCCAACCCGTGGATCCCTCCTGGTATGCTTGGACTGGGGGAATGAAGAGTAGACTTTAATTTTGTGATTCCCTCAGCAAATATTGAGTTTCCCTGGCTAGGACCTGTGTGCTAAATGAGACACCAAAGGTGGGCAGAACAGCAAGCCCCCAGCCCTCTTGGGACTTAAGGCCTGGTAGGGACAACAAAATCAAATCAGCACGAACTCTTAGCCCCTGCAGGGAGCCTCTTGGTCCTTCTTCCCCTACATCTTCTGCCTCAACTGAATAAGTGAAAAATACACTCAAAAATATTTTTGCCATTGCAAATGAAGAAGTATGGGGAGTATGAGGACTTACAGTGGGAGGGGAAGAGAAAAAGGGAGGTCCTGAATAGACTCTGAGAAGCAGCGATGACTTCTTTAAGAAAGTGATGCTTGCACTATGAACATGTAATCTATGCGATGTTTTAAAAGGAAACTATATCATCATGATAAATAGAAAACCTGAATCAGTTGTCACAAACAGGTAGAATCATTAAAATAAATGGAATGAAACCTCAGTATAGCCGCTGCCCTGTAGCTCATGCTGTGAGCCTGAGGCCTGCTCTGTCTTTAACAAAGAGCACAAGAGGGGTTAGAGACACAGCTGGGCCCAGTGGCTCCTTGGCGTTATCAGAGGGACCAAAAGGTCATTCTGGAAGTTGGTGTAGTCAGAGTTCCCAGTTGCAGCCAGTCAACAAAAGCCCAGGGGAGTAGATGGGGTGCTGCAAATAAGGTGTTACTGGTGTCCTTCGGTAGAGCTGCCCTTACCTTAGGATAGGAGTGTAGCAGGTGTGGAGAGGTGGAAGTGAAGGGCTCCATCAGGCCTTAGAGGAGGCCTGACTTTGGACTTAGGCTTTCAGTGATAAGGAGAGTTTGCCAGGAGAAGGAAGCAGGGCAAGAGGAACCTTAGGCAGAGGAAGCAATGTGTACACAGGAAGAAATGGGTTAGAATTGTTCAGTACAATCAAATATAATTAAGTGATGATGTGGAGGCAGCTTCTTACTCAGTACAGGAATACTTTTCCAACAAAAGAACAAGGAGACTTGGTGACCTGTCACTGAGTTACGCCAGCAAAGGTTGCATAGCCACGCACTGAGGGTACTTGGCAATGGGGCCTCAAAAAGCCAGGACCCACAGACAGGGAGGGGCAGGCCCGCCTGATCCAGGGTGAGAGTCCTCACCCAATCCGTGGTGTTTCTGGCCACCTCTGTGGGGGAGAATGAGGGAGGGCAGACCTGCAGCCTCCTTGTGCTGGTCTAGGCATTTCCAAGAGGGTTTCCCATCTCCCCCCACTCAAGTGAGGCAGAAGGATCAGAGTAAGGGGCTCCAGAAGCATGCTTCCACCCCTGGCCAGAGAGGTGGGAGATGGGTCTCCCTCCCCATGCCAGGTGAGCAACAATGTCACAGCTCACTGAAACTGCAGCTCGAGAACCCCACCTTACCCCAGCTAGGGTGCCCAACTCATCCCAGGTTACCCCATACTTGACCAGCGTTAGCACTGTAAGTCCCCCATCCCAGGAAACCTCCTCTGCCCTAGGGAATCCAGGAGGTTTGGTCATCCTAATTGTGGCCCTGTTCCTCTCCACAGAGCACACAACCGCTTCATCCCAGAATTGTTTCCTTGATTATCTAACTCAATTTACCCTGCTTGAAGGAGTGGGGCATGGGGACTTTCTTTGTGGCACTCAGTAATAGACGATACTGGTTAACTGAGCACCTGGTATAAACGGATGCCTGCCCCATGAACCCTGCATTCAGGGCAGCAAACCAGATAGATGTTAAGACAACAATTCCACAAATAGGGAATTAGACCATTTCCAATTACTGTGGAATAAATTACCCCGGAATTTAGCAGCTTGAAACAATAACATTTATTATCCCACATGGTTCCAAATGGGTCAGGAATCTAGGAGTGAGTGGTCAGCTGGGCTGGTTCTGGTTCAGGGTCTCCCACAACGTTGCAGTCAAGATGTCAACCTGGCCTGTGGTTGTCTGAAGGCTTGATGGGCTGTGTGATTTGCTTCTAAAGTGGGTCACACACCTGGCAAGTTAGTCCTGGTTACTGGTCGGGGGGCCTCAGTTCTGGCCACATGGGCTTCTCCAGGTGCTTTCTGGGTGTTTTCACTACATGGCAGCTGCCTTCCCCCAGAGTGAGTGATCCAAGAGAGAGTAAGGTGGAAACTTCAACAGCCTTTATGACTAAGCCTTGGAAGTCACACTATCATTTCTGAATATTCCATTGGCTACACATGTCAGCCCTGTTCAGTGTGGCAGGGGGCTTATAAGGTTATAAATATTTTTATAAGGGTATAAAAATATCTATTGAAGAATGATGGGGGCCATCTTGGAGGCTGGCTACCACAATTAGGTTTTGTACTAGGCCCAGCTTAACTATTGGAATCGGACTCAGCCATCTTCTATGAGCAGGCCTCCCAGTGTCATTGTCTTTCTGTCCCTCCTCTTCCTTTCTGAAGCCCCTTCCCCGCAACCACTGGGGCTGTGACATCTCTTTCTCATGAGCCTGTCCATTCCTCCCTTCTCTGCAGGGAGCTGACCCATCTCTCCTTCTTCCTCCCTCCCTTTCCAAAGCTGCCCTCATGGAATCCACCTTCATAACTCACGCTGAGGCCTGCTGCCTGACCTGTGAAATGAAATGAGAGGAGCCAGGGACAAAGACAGATGGGCAGAGGCACGGAGAGAAGAGAAGGCAGGCTCATAAGTGTAACAGATGGACAAACCTGCCACCATCTATTCTCTGGGACAAACAGATCATCACTGAATAGGCTGCAGAAGAGCAAAGAGACAAATTACCCAGCTGTGACAGTGTCACCTGTTCCTTATTGATGGGCTTTTGTGCTCGGGCCCAGCTGCTTCTGAAAATTGCACAACCCAGCTCCTATGGGATCCTCAAACAAGAGTGACAGGGACAAGACAGCTTTTATGTGTCGGCTGGGGTCTGAGTCACATTGCCAAGTCTTTGTGTAGCACGCGTCATATACAGACATGAATTATGTGACTTTGACAGTGCCACCTTAAAACATTAACAAAATGCCACTTTATGTATAAATTGGAAATCACACAAATGCCAGAAAAAGAAAACACTTTAACTCCTTAGGTACTGAACAATTTCAAAGCTGCTGGGATGAAATGAATTAATGGATGGATGAATGCTACTGCCACAAAGTAGCGCCACAGTACCTGGGAAACAAATGACCATATTCTGTGTCCTTATGGAGCAAATCACACCGTAGGCGGGCTTTGGGATGTAGCAACTGCTTTTTGTGACTATTGAGCTGTTATTTTGCCATTTTCTGTAAACCACTTGTAAAAAGCTGTAACAGCATCATTCTAGAACCCACAAAGTAGAGATGTTAGTGCTGAAAAATACTCCCCCAAAACGATACCTTTGGAGTGGCTGTTGGACATGGTAAAACACCACGAAGACTGAACGACTGACGCGGCAGGTGGTGCTGTTCATTTAGGAGAGTGTGGGTAGAAATAATGCTGCAAAGACACAAAATAGAATTGAAAATAAGAACATGGTAAGATGGTTATGTTTATGAGTTGTGCAAGCACATTTCATTTCCTACTGTACATTAATTCCCATGGGGAAAAGGGTACTGGAATATAAAATTTTGGATCATGTTAAATTTACAGAAGGCATCCTTCCTGGAAAATGTGACTTTTGTGGGCCCCCCAGCTATCCTGGCATAAATATGCCTCCTGGAGTCCATTCTTGGTAGGGTAGTATTATCGGTTGAATTATCTGTGAAATAATAGAAAAAAATATGAATTTAGTTTCTGACTCCCCAACCCCCATTCCATTCCTCCCAAAACTCTGTAATTTCCTAAGTGATAAGATAACTAGAAGTACTTTTTGTTCAACTATTTGGTCTTTGACCCTGGTTCCTGACTCAGAGCTCCTGAATCCCTCGGAATTTCCTGGGTGATAGGAATCACTTTTGTTAGAATGATGCAGTGGCTGGTGGGCTCCCAGATGGGGCCTGGTTAGCTGGTCACCAGAAGGACCAAGTCATCATTAGAAGCTTGGGACATTTACTCCATCCCTCCATCCTCCTGGGAGGGGAGAGGGACTGGAGATTGTTAATGATCCATTATACCTATGTAAGGAAGCCTTCCTAAAAATCCCCAAAGTATGAGTTTCAGAGCTTCTGGATTGGTGAACACACCCACATGGCTGGAAAATGGTGCACTCCAACTCTACCAGGGCAGAAGCTTCTGCTCCCTAGACCCTTCCAGATCTCATTCCACGTATTGATCTCTTCATCTGGCTCTTCATCTGTCTTCTTTATTATATAATAAACCAGTTAATCTAAGTGTTCCCCTGAGTTGTGTGAGCCATTCCAGCAAGCTATCTAACCCTAGGAGGAGATCACATGAGCCCTGATTTATAGCCAGTAGGTGAGAAGTACACATGACAACCTGGGCTTGAGATTGGCATCTGAAGGAGGGGGAGGTGTCATGGGATAAGCCCTTAACCTGTGGGGTCTGCACTAACTTTAGTTGGTGTCAGAATGGAATTGAATTCTAGGACATTCAGCTGGTGTTGGGGAGTTGGTTGGTGTGGAAAACCCACACATTTGGTATCCGTAGTATTGTGAGTGTTAGAGTAAAGGACACATATGGGCACATTTTCCCATATATATCCCCTAAAAAAAAGAGATATTGAGGTCCCTAGTACCTCAGAATGTGACCTTACTTAGAAACAGAATCTTTACAGAGGTAATAAAGTTAAAATGAGGTCATTAGGATGGGCCCTAATCCAACAAGACTGGTGTCCTTGAAAAAGGGACATCTGGATACAAGGACAGACATGTATAGAGGGAAGGTGATGTGAACACCATGTAAAGATTGGGGGGGGGGGG